CCCTATCCAGCTGAAGATGAGATAGCAGCCTCTGTGGTGGTGGGAAAAGTTTAGAGAGAGCCACAAATCACCCAAGTAAGAGACCATGAGGAACCCTGAAGAAGAGGTGGCGAGATGTGATTAAGAAGAACTTTGCTGAAGTCGAAGAAAGTAGTAGGAGATGCCGCATATAGAAGAAGGAATCGAAGGCAGCTGAAAAACATAGCGGACCCTGCACCGGCGCGGGATTACTGCTAAGGAGAGGAAAAAGACTCTCAAGTACTTTTTAGCATGATTCGCAAGAATGAAACTCAACTGGAGCTCAGAGTGAGGCAGTATTGTGTAAAGGAAGCATGAGTAATGTTTCTATGCTCTTCCTGAGTAAGGTCGCAGATAAGCGCTCATGGGCAGGTGATGATGGTACGCACGTTGGCATACGTAGCCCGAATGAGGAAGTATATCCATTTCCGAGAATTTACAAGCAGTAATGAACAAATTGAAACATAACTAGGACATACAGTAATCCTGTTTGATAGTTAAATTTCCAACGGATTTTTCTATTTTCTAGTAATTAATGCATGTATGACTTTCTACGTTTTTCAACGAGCGTTGTTGATTGTTTGCAGTCAAACGCTTCACCTACATCGGCTGCGTCGCGCAGGTGATACTCTTCCGCAACGTTTCTGTACCTGTATTAGTATACGCTCACCATTCGCAGCATTGCATGAGGTCCTATCTCTCAGCTCCGAAACCCTTTTTATGTTGAAGGAATAGGTAGCTGAATTGAAATGAGGATTCTGTAAACTTGGCAATAGGTAACTGCACAGTTTTTCAAGTACTGCAGGCATTTTGTGAAGAGCTGGTGTAGTGGCAGGTGGCGCACTACCACACATGCATGGTCACGGGTTTGTGACCTGGATCGGCATCTGCCTCGACACAACCAAGACTTTCATCCCTGGCCACTGCAATTCATTGTATAGGTTATATACGCATTCACTACACCCCTACAATTTTCAGTGGAAGTTGTATGCGGGGCGCGCCCCTCAGACGGGATTAATCAGTGCTCAAAGACTTCTTCTCCAGCCGTTCACTTCAAAAATTGAGTTAAGAGGAACTACCCATTTTTGGAAGTAAGTTATGTTCATAAACCAGATACCCAAGTATTTTATGGTCAGTATACATCCGAATAGATATTTTCTTTATTTATGTAAGACACGCGGTACTTTTTCTAAAATGCGTATACGAAATTAAATACTTAGTTGTCAATCTGATAGAAAACCCACAAAATTTCCTCCTTTCCGGTCTAGGACTTCATACATTTGGGTTTTTAGAGAAGAAGGTGTAACCAATTTTCTAATGAATCGCCGTTTCCGGCGTGTTATCAAAAGTTTTGAATTATTTTTAATTAATCTATTCATGGAGCAAGATGGACTCAAACATGTTCCCAGTTTCTGCTAGAAGGACTAATCATTCCTCTGAATAAATGAATAATTGTAATTGGCGAAAAAACTGGCTTTTTTATAGTGGGTGAAAGCCTTCTGTCAGTATTGATCTTGAATATTGAAAATACTTTGGAAAATGAATATTTTCATGAGAAAAAAGAGGTTGAACACCATTGAAGCTTTCAGAATACATTGCTCCCGAATGTTTCCTTTTGACTTTGAGAAGTATTAGGTTGTAAGGAAAGTTCTGGCCGTTCCCACGCACGCGCCATATGAATTCAAATTTTAGCGGTTGTCCATTCAGACTAATCGACATATTGTGTTCCTTAGATAAGTCATTAGTTGCTCTTTCTGTCATAGCGCTCTCCCCGAAGTCTGTAAGGTTTTGGAATCCTTACGAAGTTTTTTTTGGCAGAATGGATAAGACTGCTTTTTGAACGGTTTTACTTCAC